TATATATATATATATATATACTTATATATACTTATATATAATATATACATATATGTATATATATGTGTGTGTTGTGCGTGTGTTCGTTTGTGCGTGCGTCTGGTTGTGCGTCTGTTATTATGTTTGAATACATATGTATGTCTCATATACGAGCTATTAAGTAATCATGCAAATAATTGAAATTTGATCATGGGTCAATTTTGGTCACGTGATTAAAATCCGTTTTCTCCAACTGTAACTGAGAGTGAGTGGGTTCAAATTCTTGTCAGGCTGGTTAGTTAGACATTTATCAACATGTGAGACTGCACCATTCCACCCTGTAATAGCCGCTGAATAAGACTGAGGGTAGTGCATGGTAATTTTTGACTGGCAACATGTAGGATAAGTACAAGAATGTACCAATGATACCATGGTTTTCGGCGACCATAGAGCCCTAGGTATCTTCATTCGTCAACGAGTCTTTTCTTCGGGGCTTTTAATCCTATAGTGAGTTCTGTGTTGTTGACATTCACTTCCAGGGCCCTTGTATCGGCGGCAGAGACCTAACTCCTCGTCATTTGTATGAAAAGCAGGCAGGGGGATTGTGGGATTGTGGGAGGATTGAGTACCTTGTTTCAGCCCGGATTATCGAGTCACATTCAGTAGGTTTTTCCAAGATTAGATCAAGAATTGGCTCCGTTCACACTTGGGAGGAGGGTGTGAGGCAAATTTAGTTTAGTTTAGTCCTTTATTTACCACCTTGGCTAACTGCACAGGCGTGGGCTAGGTTGTGGTACAGTTGATGCATGGTCAAAGCATTATACAATAGTATTACATTGGAAATCTAGATCATAACATTATTACGATCTATAATATATCATTTAAAAGAAAAGAACAATCACACAGTAATTATCTACTCATTAACCAAGCCGGCGTACGACTTGAGCGTGGAAAGGCAATGTAACATTTGATATGTGGTCATGTGATACTACATTCCTAATTTAGGATATAACATAAGTATATCTTCCAAGACATCAGATGATATGAAGTAGAGAAATGTGGATACGCGGCTCCGTAGAGTTGGATAGAGAACTCGCTCCGTCACTTCCGCAAGTGTTGTCATTCGGTATTCTACTTGTACTCACCACCAGTCACTCAACCAAGATAATCAAGGATGTGATGCAGGTATTAAAGAATAGAGTAGGATAGAAGACGAATTCGGTATTCCACTTGTACTCAACTCTAGTCACTCAACCTTGAAGACGAAGTTCGACTCATCACACCATCTAGTTCTTGATGAGATCTAGTTCTAGCTGTCTAATCCTCCCTGAATTTTGCGAAATGATGTGATACATTAAGAGGAAATTACTAGGAAAGATTGCCAGGTGTCAGTTAATCATTTACACGGACTTGGGTACACAAAATATTTATCCTCATATATCTTTAACTATAGGATCTATTCGTTATTATTACCCTTGTTGCACATAACACATTATTTTTCCCACATTTCTCAAATCGTAATACTTCATTATGAATTCAATATCTATAGCTTCTCTTCTCCTTACAGTGAAAATGGATATTCATAACAAAATAAAGCTTTCGTGTTAGCAGCGTCACTAGAAGTTCGTAAGGGTGCATATTCGTACACAAGATCCATATATGGGAAAGGCTAGATCAGTAGCAACTCGAGGAGGAGTCATGGCGTCTGTTTTGATAATTGTTCAATGAAAATACAACCATTAAAATAATTATTTTCTATCCTCTTTGAAAATTGAAAAGACCAAAATGATCGACCATATGAACAAAGCATCCGTAACTTTTGTGACGTCATCAAAATAAACCCCATGTGTTTTTTTTATTATTATTATTAATCAGACGCCATGGTACCTCCTTCAGTTGCTACTGATCTAGCCTTCCCAAGCATATATACTGATTATTTACAGTCTTGTGGCGCTTCTGGGTAAAATATTCATGTTCTGTCTAAATTGGTAGAAGAAATTTCGAGATGTGACCTTTTCATAGCAGAATCATGCTAAATACCATTGTGTTTTTCACTATTGTTACTGCTACTAAGCTTTCATCTTCACTGCTGTTTGATGTCAATAACTCTTTTATATATACCCATTAGTGTTATTTCTGGTTTCATTATTAACATCATTGTCATTATTATTACCACCTTTATAATTGTATTTTGAATATTCATTACTATCGTAGCTGTGATTATTATCATGATTATTTACCAGCTGCTAGTTAGGTGTGTCTTTAACTTAGATTCCATTAAATTTTGGTTGTATTTTTAATGCTTGTCTCAGTTGCCACTATAGCCTTGTCTCACATGTGTACTTGAGAAAGGTGATTTTAATGTAAATTTTGTGTGAATATTTTTATTGCATTAGTGAGCTTATTGCCTTGGCGGAGGTATGCGGTCTCTGAGTGTTTCTGCTGGTCATTATCTTTATCATTGTTATTACTGTTGTTGTCATTATTATTAATTATCATCTTCCTCTGCTTTTATTGTTGATGATAGTATTATTATCAATATCATTAGCATTTCTATTATTGTTGTAATTGTTATTATCATTATTATTAACATTATTGTTATTATGATCATCATTATCATATCATCATCATTAGTAGTAGTAGTAGTAGTAGTAGTATCATTGTCATCAGCATTATGAGTATTCTTTTCTCGTAATACTATTGCTATATTTATTTCATTTTCTTTTCATTATGATATATTTATTACGACAGTTAAAGCGAAATCACTGTAACACAACCCCTCTGATCTCGATTACACGAGCAGTAATTATATACCTTTGCTCCCAAATGTAAACATTGTCGTTAAAACTTGTCTCTCTCCACTGGCATATCGTTTGTTGGCCTGTAAGTATATTTGGGGGGTTATTTTATGTTTTAAGTTAATGTAAAACGTCTCATTTCAGGTATTTCTAGATTCTCAATTATGGTAAATATTTAGATTAGTTTTGTTCGTGCGTTATCAGGCAGTGGTGAATAGGCTACAACAGCAGTGGGTTTTACATGTCTAGATTTTTAAAAAGTTTTATAGGTAAATTAAAGACAATATGCAGAGCAAGGTAGTGCCTGAGTTGGGAGATAAACCTATATAATTTAATAGACCGATAGAAACCAAGACACTTTTCTTCTATGGCAATATTTGTGCAAATGCACCACAAAGCTACAGTGGCATGAAATTAACGAGCTTTTGATTTATAATTGTACAAATATGGTAACACTAATTTTTTAGGATGCGGATGCACTTGCCAGAGGCTAAGTCCCTGACGAGGGTTGATATTGAGCTCCGCCTCCCAACGCCCCAGTGGGAAACATTATTGTTGTCTTGGTATGCATGGCAAGATAGAGCTGAAACTTGTGAGCAGCATATCCCAGGATATTTTTTCTCTAATTGTGGCATTATCGTCCATGTCTGCAGATTATTTCTAGTAGTCATTACTTTATTTCCTCTTTTATAATTTCATCATAATTTTGCCTTAGCTTTGTGTCCGTACTGTAAAGGTTAACAGTGGTAAGTCCGGAAAAATATAATAAGGGATGATGATAATGTCTACACTACTACCTTAATTTAACAAACTATACCCAAAAGAAAGATCTAGCGACAACTGTTTAGTCATAACAAAAAGTAAAACAAAACCCACCAGACTGAATCAACATCAACCTATAAACAAAACTGAAAATAACTCGGCATGCAGATGGTACCCAGACTGCGCTTTTGTAAATTGGGTGCGCAATAATGATCAAATGCAACTGTGGCCATGCAAGTAAGTAAATGAAGCTCTATCCACATCCGCACATTTTTGCCTGAACTGGGAAATCCAATTTAATTTTGTCTGTCTCTATGCAGACACTGATTCACTAGTCTTGTTTCTTGCGACTCTCAGATGTGCAACAACATTGCAACTATACCAGCAGCAGCACCAACAACAAGTCTGTGACATTTACAGCTGCACTAAAATAGATGAAATCCTTGTGAGAGAGCGGAGTTCAGGAAACTCTCCAACAATTTGTCTATGCATGTGGCAAATTTTCCAGTCTGGGATGGTACAGAAAAATGCTGTTACAATACCCAAGATCCCATTCACACAAAACAAAATAAATAGAAGCACTTCAGATGATAGATATTGTAATAGTTTTAGTTTCTCACAGTAAAATGGTGCAAGATAAACTTTCACTCTAATGTACAGAATGACAGTTTTATCAATGGCATTTCCACTGCAAGTTGATTTTATATATATATAAATATTATATATATATATATATATATATATATATATATATATATATATATATATATATATATATATATATTATATATATATATATTTTTTTTTTTTTTTTTTTTTTTTTTTTCTTCTCTTCTTCTTCTTCTTCTTCTTCTTCTTCTTCTTCTTTCTCTTCTTCTTCTTCTTCTTTCTTCTTCTTTTCTTCTTCTTCTTCTTCTTCTTTTTCCTTTCTTCTTCTTCTTCTTCTTCTTCTTCTTCTTCTTCTTCTTCTTCTTTCTCTCTCTCTTCTTCTTCTTCTTTCTTCTTTCTTCTCTTTCTTCTTTCTTCTTTCTTCTCTTCTTATTATTCTTCTTATTATTCTTCTTATTATTTTATCTTCTTCTTCTTTCTTCTTCTTCTTCTTCTTCTTTCTTCTTCTTCTTTCTTCTTCTTCTTCTTCTTTCTTCTTCTTCTTCTTCTTCTTCTTCTTTCTTCTTCTTCTTCTTCTTCTTCTTCTTCTTCATCTTCTTCTCTTCTTCTTCTCTTCTTCTTCTTCTTCTTCTTCTTCTTCTTCTTCTTCTTCTTTTCTTTCTTCTTCTTTTCTTCTTCTTCTTCTTCTCTCTTTTTCTTCTTTCTTCTTTTCTTCTTTCTTCTTTTCTTTCTTTCATTCTTTCTTCTTTTCTTTCTTTCTTCTTTCTTTTCTTTCTTTCTTTCTTTTTTCCCAAAATGCTAGTTGAAATAACCTTTTCATAATCTAACAACAATTTTTATTTTCAGGTGCAGATCAGTCACCCAATGAACATTACAACATATTAAGACTCAAAAGTCTACTTATGAAGAACAGAAATAGTCAGCATTATATTGCAGGGCAAAAGACCAGTGTATGAAGTAATAGAGAGAAAAAGGAAAGAAAGAAGATCCAAGGAATATATACTAACCATAGTACAAAGAAAGAATAAGCAAGTATCCCAGACTGTTGATTGATTTTGATGCAAGTGTGCATGCTTTGTAAATTAGATTACAGAGTTGATTTTTATGAAAAGGTCTCTTTTTCCAGATTTCTGAGGGAAAATGGTATATAACACTCTCATAGGTAATTCCTATTGGGAGATTTATGATGCCTGTAGTAGTAATTATGATATCAGTGTATTATTAATGAGGATCGATTACCTTTTACTTTAATATTACCCAAACTTATCAACTATACTGATGATATTGATGGTAATTAGAGTCCAAGTTCTTTCTTGCCAGAATATACATGTTTGAGGTTTGTGTGCCCTTACCATATAAAATAAATATGGATGCCATGATAATAACTTGACAACATGCTCTTGTAAAAGATCAAGCCATTAGCTGACATTGCACTGTCTGTCATGTAATTCTATGAATCGCTATTATAAAGGGGGTAAGAAGGGTGGGGTACCCTAAAATTTTTATGCATCATCTTTGTTTTGTATTTGCACAATTTTTGGTTGTTACTTTTTTTCTCTGTGCACCTTGCAGTTTCCTGGGAATATTACATGTCCTCCCCCAGAAACCAGAGCCAGTATTGGTAGCAGTGAAGTGAACTTCTTTGTAAGAGTTGACAATATTTATAGGAGATTGATTGAGTTCTGGTCAGCTTAGCATAGGTAATTGTCAAGAGAAGGACCACATCAAGCTTTTCCATGGCATAAGCACTTCAGAAGTCAGCCAAGGCAAACAAACCTCCATTATGTATATTCTGGAAAATTGAATTATTTTACCCATCAGATGTTTTATTATACTACATAACCTCCCTAACAGACAGCGGTTAGTATTTTTAAGAATTAGAAGGCACTGTTATAGCAAATATTTTACTGTTATTAGCAACAGAGAATTTGATCATGAATTAGTATTTATTTATATTTCTTTATGAACACAGTCAGGTAGATTTAGTATGTAAACTATGGTAAGTATGCTTTATGAAATCATTCCAAGAGATGATAAAAGGTGGTAGTCGCCCTCTGTTGGGAGGGCGACTGCAGGGCACAGAATGGGAGTGGGGCTCACTCATCCTGACTGCATTCCAGTAGCTACAAACCCAGTGTGAGGCTTGTATGGCAAAGCCTATATGAAACCCCACAGGTGAATGTTGAGCCCCATAGCCTGTTACCCCCTTCATAGGACAAACGTTCCGTCCAGTGGCAGAGTTGGTGTCCACCTGGAGTAAGTGCCAGAGGCTCAATTTCAGGTGGATTGCCTGGGTAAGAGCTTGGAACATCTAGTCTTTGTGGCAAAATTATTAATTACTCCTATCAGGTTAACTGAAGTGGTTAAGAGTTGAGTTGGCTGCCCTCTCGGAGGTGAGGAGACTTGGCAGTGGCACAACCATTATCAGTCGTTACTCCTAATACTGGTCAGGCTGAAGCATTGGTCACCATCTCCAGGGGACAGCCATAGCCATCTCAAGCCATCTTCAACCCTTGGTAGTGGAGGTCACTACAGTTGATGAGCATATAATGGCAGTGACACTGAACCATGCTTTTAGCTTCATGTCTTTTATTGCTTTATACGCTCCTACCAATGTTTGCAAACTCAATGTGAAGAAGGTGTTCTATGCCAACCTGGCATTTGTGACAGACAGTTGTCCTTGGCAAGATATTTGCACTGTCCTAGGAGACTTTAATGCTGTATCTGGTTGTGATCAAGCTGGCTACAAGGTGGACCTGGTATAGTTAGCACTCGCTGAAGGATCCTCCAAAATTGCAGGGTTTACTGGGATGGTGAGTTCTGTGTTACCAACCATAGACTGGTTGTCGCAACTCTTCGGGTTCAATTCAAAACCCCCCTTCCCTCTAGTGTCCACCCAAGGGTGTATCATCTGGACAGAATGAGGGGAAGAGAGTGTGCCTGAAGATTCGCTGCAGCTGTCTCTTATAGATTTACAGTACTCTAAAGCCTGATGGACCCTGTAGCTTTGTGGGACTTCTTCAAGCATGAAATGTATACGCAGTGCAGAAGTCCATTGGCGACCACCCAAGATCAAGGCAGGACTTCATCTGGCGGGAGACACTGGAGGCCACAGATGCGTATCACATGGCTTGACTGAGTGGCAATCAGGATTTGCAACATTCCTTGGTGCCCAGTTGAAAATGGACAAAGAACATTATATCAGGAATCTTGCTGAGGAGGTTGAAAGCCATTTCTTAGTCACTTAGTGACCTTCACCCTGCCTACCAAACCCTGAGGAAACTGAACTCTAGGCCCTCACATGCGACTGTAGTCCACTCAATGGATGGATGGATCATCTCAGATCATGATA